ATCTTCTGAACTGGCAGCTTTGTTCTAAACGAGCCTCTCCCGCAGTAATAAATTAAAGACATGGGGGCTGCTGATTAGTCTCTGCATGGCGCCTCTGCACCATCCGCCCTGGTTTATCTTAGGAGATCAGCTTTCCAGAAGGGTGGAGGGAGCAGAGAGGATGGGAGCAGGGAATAAAGGCTGGGGAGAGACCTGGCAGCAGCTTCAGTGCCGTCTTCTGCGTCAGGGTTGAGCTCCGGCCCCTGATGTGGTGGCTGAGCTGCAGCTTGAACCCAACTATCAGCTGCTTTCACCCCCGGAAGGCAGGAGAAATGTGGGTGTTCCTGAGGCCGGAGAAAGGAGGATTTGGGCCATATTTAGCAGACCCTGGGCCACACCACCTGCTGTGGCAGTTCTGGGGCACGTTCTTCCTACCACATTCAACGTGACGTGACCCCCCATGCTCAGAAGCAGCTTCATGGACTGTAGATGCGAAGATCCTTGGATTTACTTCATTGGAAGGGCCACCACCCAGGAGACGCCTCAGCCTGCAGGGCCTCCAGAGAGGTGGAATGGGCTTTGCCTCCTGCTTTTGCTTTGTGCCCTCTTCCATGCCGGCTTGCTGGAATGGGAGCGATGGCTGTTCCTGCGGGGAGCTGCCGTCCGCCAGGTTGTGACTTTAAACACAGAGCCAACGTTCCCAGCCTAGAAGAGATGGGAATCACAGGTGGGTGTAAAAGACATTCCTAGAACAGAGGCGTTTTTGGCATGAGCATTGGATTCAAAAAAGAAAACCCTTAGCTCTATAAATAATGTGGGTCATGAAGCCCTAGGAGAATAAACTGAGGCTTGAGCCTGCTCTCCCTGCCTGCACTCAGCAGAGCTCTGCAGCTCCGCACAGGACACGGCGCCAAGCAGCCCAGGGCCTCTGCTTTCAGCTCCTGGGCTTCCCTCCCGCCCTGCTCCTTTCCAAGGTACCGGCTCCTGCGCGCCGGGGACGGTGGTCACAGCTGCTGGAAAGGAGGGATCGTCTGAGCGAGGGGCACCATCCATTGAATCCATAGGGAATCCCAGCATCCAAGCAAATGCCGAGGCGGAGATCTGTCTCCTGGCACCTGGAGCATCTCTCAATTACAGGGAGGGGGTGAAGGAAGAAACTGTCTCCAGAAAAGGAGAATCTGAGAGGAGAGGCTGTCTTGGTTTGGTGCTTTATCTGTACCGCACCAGCAGCGGGAGGAGAAGATGCGATACGAGGCTGCGTTTGCCTGGTCAGAGTTTTAATGCTCATTTGATGATGAAAAGCTATAGCAAGAATTAAGCAAAAGGGCCCTAGGGAGCCCTCGAGACCTTCGTTCTACCTTTACGAGAGGGGAGGAGAGGAGCTTGGGAAGGATTCAGACGGGTTGCATCAAGGTGCCCCTGATTCACCCACCGCTGTTACTTCGAGTCCAGTCTGTCAGAATGTGCTGAGAAACCCAGAGCTGTTGTTCGCTGTCCCGTGGCACCATGAAATCTGGTGCTGGAGGAGCCCGTGGCCTTCGGAGCAGCCGACTCTCCTGGGGCTATTTGGAGGCTGAAAGTGGAGGTGATGCCCACGACCATGGGCATATTCTGTCCTGATTTAGGAGAAGTGCACAGAGGGAGTGTGACGGGAGGCAAGGAGCCTGGGACGCGAGGGGGCCTCCAGGTAATGAAGTTAATTGGATATGCTGATTTGAATTGAATGTGCATGTAAGGGTTGTCATTAATTTCCTTACGGACATATGTGTGATTTAAAGGAAAGATACTTAATGGGATTACAGTTCCACTTGAGTTTCAAGGGGGGACTCCCCACGCAGAGCTCTGTGTGCTGAGTGTCGTGTGGGCGTGAGGGAATCCGGCGTGTCGGAGCGGGATCTCCTCCCTGCGATGGACCCGTGGGACAGGCTCTTGTCCCGTGGCTCACACGGGGCTCGGCAATATCTGCATTAGCAGGTTCCGATCCGGATCCATTGCAGGCTCCTCGTACAGTCACCCAACTTCCCTGCGGTTTGTTAGGGAGCCGTAAGTGGCTCTCACCCAGCTCCCAGGAGCATCAGAAAATTATCTGATGTTAGCAATTCTCCAGGGAATTTCGAATGTGAAGGGTTCTTTACTCACAGAGGAATCTCACATAGGCCCTGAAGGGCTCTGGAGAACTCCTTGGGTAGAGATTTGTGTTTCCCGTGCCGGATTCTCCCCTCCTTGGGGATGCTCTATGTGCTTCTCGGAGGCCCACACAGACCCCAGCACGGGGACGTGTGAAATGAGCTTGTGGAAAAGGCATGTTCATGAGCAGGGTGGAGAAAGTGCCTGGTCATCACAGGCGTCTTCGCCTCCTTTTGAGCGCGATGGGACAATAGTCTGCCTCGGCGAAATTGGATTAGCAAATGTGAATGCCTTCTGCGAAGATTGCTTGATAGAAGCACGCGCAGAAAGGCCGGGCTCGTTTATTTATCTTGTCTTGTCTTTGGGAAGCTTTTGCATTGCTGAATCTCTTCTTCATGGAAATTACCCTTAGTAGGAGCTGCTGTTAGGAAATTACCTTTAGTCTGGGGAGGAGAAGCTGTGCAAAATCCCTGATGGAAAGGGTAGGGGAAAACCGTCCAACCAATACTCTGCTCCAGCCTGATTCAAAAACCTATTTCCAGCACTGAAGTAAGAAATCCTGCAGCTTTGAAGGAAGACTTTTTTGGGGGAAATGCTCAAGAGCTGATACCTGCAACTGTTGATGTCAAAAAATTGTGGTAGTTCTACAAAGAGACGCCTTGGTAGTAAAGGATGTTTCGTATATTGCCCTCAGTGTCTATAGGCAACGCTCTGGTGTGACTCCTAGACCAGAGAGCAGCCTATGGCAATGTCCATTTATACACAAACGCAGCGTTATTGTGTGTGTTTTAGGTATCTTAGATTTAATGCAAGCTGGGCAAAATACACCCAGAAACCTTAATGCAGGAGGTTGGAGCTTCTCACCGCCGGAGATCCTTGAAGGGCTCATGCGCTTATCCCCGTGGGTGCTCGGCGGCAGCGTGTGCGCGGCACAATGTGGAATTCTGCTAATCTCTTAGGATAATGCCGAGCTTAGGGCTGCAGTCGCTCTTGTGCGGGTATTAGACGCACAAATCTCCGCCGAGCCCCTGCAGAACCGCGGTCCCCGCAGAGCCTCCCGCTCCGCGCCGCGGACATCTCTGCCCTTCGGTGGGTGGTGGAATTAGGGGGATAGGGAAGCCTGGGAGCCCTGTCCTGGCCCGGCGCGACACCGTTTCCGCAGGTGGCGGTGGCCCCGGCGCTCCAGGACACGGAGCAGGTGGCACGTGACGGGTCCCCTGGTGCCAGGGACCCCCCAGCGCCGCCCACCCAGCCGAGAGCAGTAATTAAATCACAATAAGACGTGTTAATGGGAGGACTTCCGCTGGCGTTGCTGTGGTAACAGCTTTAAACAGCCGTCTCTGTGGAGGCCGAGGAGGCCGCAGTGCTGGTGTGGAGGCCGCGGTGCTGTGGTGGAGGCTGCGGGGCCACGGCTGCAGTGCAGGACACCCTCCAAGGGCCTCGTGCTCCACGGCTCTGCACAGCTTTTTTGCAGGTTTTTGTTGGCGCCCATGGCACGGCCTCAAGCCCACAACCGTGGTGTGGTGCCGAGGCTGGCACGGCAGGAGGTCGGTGCAGCGGGACCTGCGTGCTGGGATGCGAGGGGAGCAGACGTCCTCTCGGAGCTCTGCATGGACCCGCGTGCTGGTACCCGAAGGGAGCCGACGTCCCCCGGGAGCTCTGCATGGACCCACGTGCTGGCACCCGAAGGGAGCCGACGTCCCCCGGGAGCTCCGCGCTGCCCTTTCCGAAGCCCCGGAGCCGTGCGGAGCGGCGTGTCGCGGCCGCTTGCCGCCGGAGGGGCAGCGGAGCGGACACGGCGGCAGAGCCCGGCGCGGCAGATGGCATCGCGCCCTGCGAGGCGCCGCCGGCGAGGGGCAGTCCCCGCGCCGCCGCGCGGCAGCATCCGTGTCGCCGGGAGCCCCGGCGCTGCCGGTGGCCACCATGGAGCCGCTGGCTCGCGTGGCTGCTCTAATCTCCCTGCCTGGCGCTTGCCAGGGTTTTCAGCTTGATGTTATGTAGACACCATGTTGCAATCAAATGGCTATTCAAATATGCAAATCCTGGTAGGAAAGACAATGTAAATTGTTTGTTTATCCTCCTGCCTCCCCCTCGCGCGGCTCCCAAGGCCATGAATTATTAACTTTTGGAAGAGATGATAGGTTCTCAGCAGCAGCAGCTCCTGGTGGCGGTGGGATTTGTCACGTCTCCGGCAGCCTTTCCTGCAGGGCCAGGGAGTTGTCTTTTGGCGTGGAAGATTCCTACAAGCGGGCTGGAAAACCAAAGGAGCCATCTGGCCATGGGGTTGGTCATTGCGCTGAGCAGCACGAGCTGCACTCGTGTTACCTCGCAGAGCCCTGCCGAGCCCAGCAGGATGGGATGACAATGTCATCCCAGGATCCTGAAGCAGAGATGCTATTTGGGGGTGGCAGGAGGACGTGGTGGCTGTTACGGGCCAGTTGGCTCCTCAGATGGTGCAACGTGAGAGCAGAGCTGATTGTCCTTCCCAAGCAGCCTGCAGTAACAGTGCAGAGGGCTGATTTTCATCAGCACCTGGGTTCTTCAGGACATGCCATTCTGTTTTGCTTCACTTTGCTTTCACTGTTGGATGCCTATGAGTGCTCAGAGCACAGTGGCTGTCTGCAAGCTCACCTGCCAGCAGAAAACTCTCCCCTTGCTTCACATGGACTAGGGAAATAATGTTAGTCTCGATGCAGAAAGAATCCCTGCTTTAGCTCTTGCATGTTCCTAGCGCTTGCCAACTGTCTTGGCTTCACATCTCCAAGTTGCAAACCGTGATTTTAAATTTGTTTCTTCTTCTTACCTTGTCCTCCCCCTCTCCCTTCTCCCCGTCCCCCTACAAAAAAAAATTGGAATTTGGCTGCTATGAAGTTACCTGTTTGTGCTTTTTCCAGATCCGAGCAGATGGTCCTCCCCACGGTGGAATTCAGTATGAAATGGTCACGGTTTTCAAGGACGGGAGCCCTATCCTTCGAGACATGGCCTTCTCCATTGACCAGAAGTACCTGTACGTCATGTCGGAACGGCAGGTAAGACCTTCCTCTGTATCTGCACGGCTGCAGCTTCCTTCCATGCAGAGCATGGACTCGGTGCCTGCTGGCTAAGGTTGCCTTGGCTGTTGAGCAAGGGATCAGGTTCCACCTCTGAGCGCTCTGGGATCCGCTTGTACACACCAGAGATGGAGCAGGTATTGAGCAAGTCCCACTGCACTGCAGAGCAGATAGTTCCTTCCAAAACTAGCAAAACTGTTTGCTAACTTACCTGAAGCAATCCTCCAAAATAAAACCGTTTCATTAAAATATTAATCTCACGGTGGTTTTCACAGGCAGCCTTAGTATCCATCACGTGCTCATACCAGTGACAAAACAACCAGAGCGGGTGCAAAACAGTTTTTTAGCCAAATCCAGTGGGGATGCCTCCAACTCATCTTTTATGAAGCGAGAGAGCCTTAATATTCATCAAAGTGCTAATTTGCTTAATTGTGAAACAAAATGATGTGAAGAGAATTAGCAAATAATGCAGTATTCCCGGAATGTTAATTCCGTCTCTGCGGTGAGCCCAGGTACCAAGCAGGGGCGGGAGGGACGTTCCTGGCCGGGCTGTGGTTACGCACAGCCTAGGCAATAGGCTGTGTTGATGTATAGCTGCTTCCCAACAAAAACCCCATGCATCATCCCTGTATCAAACCCATCTTCTTGCTCAGTTAGCAGCTGCTAGGATCAGCTTTATGCTGAAATGAGTTGAGAAAAGTAATTGCTTCATCCTAAATCTGGAGCTCTGCTTAGGCGTCGCGTCCTTCCACGCTCGCCCTGGCGCCCGGCCCAGCCCTGTCTGCATTTCGCTCCAATTTATGTGCAGTTCCTTTGAGCTCTCCATGAGCCTTTCATGTTTCATTGCCAGCTTCTTCCAAAGCAGAATATTTGACATTTGCTTTCACTCCCACAAAGCACAGAAGCAACAGTTGCACAGCCCGGTTCAGGGGCGAGGGGGAAGAGAAACTTTGCTTCCAGCTACTTATCCCGAGCTCTTTAAGCACATGATTTAAGAGGGCTTATTAGGAGCTTTCACAGGCGCTCTTCCCGCTGCACCTGCTTTCAGATAGCTCCTGTGGCGAAAGAGAAGTGATTCTGGCTGTGCCTGTTGGGAGCGGAGCTTGGTTTCGCAGCAAACAAACAGCCCTGCTGCCCCCGAGCCGAGCGAGGCTCGAGATGCCCCCGAGCCGGAGACGTGTTGGGGAGCAGCACGCCGCGGCAGCCGGGGCGGGAGGAGCGGCACGGCACCGATGGCACCGGCAGCCCTGGGCAGAGTTACGTCCCAAACAGCGGGAGATGCCGCAGGTCGGCGTTGAGAAGCAGTTGCTGTTTGGAGAAGATGCATGCGTGATTCGGAAGCCAAAAGCAGAGAGGCCCGAGGCTGTGCCTGGGGATTAGGCAGCAGCAAGGGGTTAATGTCAGCGCAGAAGGAGAAGGGTAAGGAGGGTCCTGGGGCCCCCAGGAGCCCCCCGGCTTAATGACATTCCAGTTCTAAGGACCAATGTGTGGGACAACCTGCATCAGCAGCCTTTGCAGGTGCAGAAAAGCCTCTGAGATTCCTTGCTTTAAGCCAGAAAGCCTGATTGAGGCTTACAGGAAGAAAACGCTGGTGTTATATGTATTTATATCTATCTATATATATATGAAGTGGCTTTATAATAATTCAGTCATGAAGTATTAATTGTCTGTGCGTCAGGAAGACTGGAGCTTTTTTAATGTATGAGAGCTCCGTGCATTTCAATTCTGGAGGTCCTGTAGGACACGAGCAATTTCCCGACTCTGAGGCTGTGCTCCCTTGTGGGTCGGTTCAGCCCTTTCACAGGCACCGCTTTGTTTTTGCTCCCCAAAACCTGCTCCTTGCAGCCCCTGAGTGCTCATCCTGGGCCGGGGGCACTGTGCGAGCACCGAGGAATTGGGGCAAAGGTCTGTGCAGCTCTTGCCAGAAGAACAAATTCTGCTATTTTTAATCCTGGAGCGGGCAGAGGTGCCGCGCGGAGACACGGGAGACACCAGAGCGGAATTGCCGTCTCTTGAAGACTTCACCGCTTAATCAAGGGCTATAAATAAGAGATTTAAAGCAGCGGGATCAAAGTGCTACAGGCTTTGCTGGGAAGGAATATTCCTGCGCTAGGCAGGAGAAACGTGGTCCGACAGGGCTCCTGCCCTGCTGCATTTCGCCGGTGCCGCGGTCTGGGGGCCTGAGAAAAGCCCAGTCCTCAGCACCGAGGGAGGTAGCGGGGCTGTAAATACCAACGTGCCCTGAAAAGAACGGAGACGACAGAATGCAAAATGCACGAGATGTGGCTAAAAGGGACTGGAGCTGTTAGGATGGGGCGGCGGGGGGAAGTGATCTGATGAAATTTTTAGCTATATTATCTGTGAGTTGAACAGACAGCTGGGGGGATGTAACCCCAGCAAAGTTTGGATCGGGGGCCAGGCGAGCGGCCCCAGGGCTGCACGGCTCGTGCCCAGGTGCCCAGTTCTGCCTACAGCTCCTATACCCAGGCTAGGTTTTCCCATTGTCCTCTCTGTAGCCAGATAGGAATCATTAAGGACTTCCACTAAAAAGTAGTCTGGGGTCATTACCAACATGCACCTGACAAGCAGGATGTGTTAATTGACGGGAACGGAGCAGCTCAGCCCGCTCGGACACGTGCGGCCTTGTTTCCCTGCCCTGCTGGCAGTGTGGTTGTCCCACCGACCGGGCCTGGATCTGCAGGATTTATCCATCCAGAGCGTCAGAGCGCTGCGATACAGAGCTCAGTGCTGCACCCTCTGCAGCAGCAGTTCCTCAAGAAGCAGCATCCGTGGTGGAAGTGGTGCAAAAAGGCCCCGGTGCAAAGGTGAAGCGTTGCAGGCAGTGGGTTCGTTTGCCCAAATGAGACGTGTTTCAGACCTTGCTCACACGGTTCTTCCACATGCACGCGAGGTTTGCTCACAGCCCCAGTTTGCTCTGCTGTGTTTTCCTTCAGATAAATCTATTTTTCCCCTGCCAGACGCAGCCATGGGGTTCCCCTGTATTTGCTGTGGCATTTTCTTCCCTTTCCAAGGCCTCCCTTCCCACAGACCTAGTGCGTCATTCCCAGGCAGGCAACTCGAAATGCTTTGGCAGTGCGGGGTTGGGAGCAGGCAAAGTTCGGGGCTGCCTTGGAAGCGTTTTGGTGTCTCCCCGTATGGCCAGGCGGACACGGGTCGCTCCTCTGTGCTTTGCTGTATGATCAGAGCAAGGCGAGAATTCTATTCCCCACGCGGATAATTCCTCCAAGGAGAAATGTGAAATTTCACACCGCCCATTGCAGCGAGTGCTCAGCTATGAAATTTAAAAGAAAACCTCCGATTCCTCTTTCTCTCTCCAGCAAAGCTTTTTCTTTTTTTGCTCTTTCTTCCTCCTTTCCGTGCTGCTGTAATAGTTACTCTCCTCAGCAAATGAGTTTGGCGGCTATTGAGCCGGTGCGGAGGGGAATTATTGCACCGGGCACGAACAGAAAAGAAACATAACTCACAATATGGTGAGGGGAGCTCTGAAATTGCACAAATTATTCTATTTTATACTTTAATTAGTTTGAATTAGCAATGGGAATAGATGCATAAAATGATCCAGTGAAGGGTGAAATGGAAAAAGGGATATGCTATAGAGTATCACTTTATTATTATGAAGTTTGCAGGAAGGAAGCGGCGAGGAGGTGTCGGCCCTCGCCCGCCTGGATCTGCTCCCGAGAGCCCAGGGAGCTGCTCCGCTCTGCCCTGGCCGCCCCGGCTCCTTCTCCGTCCTCCGCGTTGAGCTGACCCCGGGGCTGGCAGGGACAGAAAGATGCAGAAAGACTTGAGATCCACCCTGAGTCTTAACCCAGACGCCCTAAGTCGCATCATTCTTCCCCCCAGGCACTGGAAAGTTCTGCAGCGTCAGGCTGCCTGGGTTTGCACTTTCAGTATCTCCGTTTTATTGGTTGCAGGCCAGATCAGATCGGGGGAATGTAGCTATAAACAGAGATTCCTGCAGTAATTTTGAGATGAATGGTACTTAAAAAAAAGAAACAGTCTGAATTCCAGGCCAAGCCTCCAAATTGCCATCCCCGTGGGATGTCTGCATCCTGCTGCAGAGGGAAGCCCTGCAAGGAGATGCGATCTCAGCCGAGATGTGGCACTCCATGAGGGAGATGCTCCTGCTTTGCTGCCTGCTGTGGGCTGCGAGGGACGGCCAGAGCGCGCGAGGGCAGCCGCAGCGGCCGGAGGAAGGGCCCGAGGCTCCCTTGGGAAGCCCGGGAAGGTCTCCCGGCAGCAGGTGAGCGCGGGCTGCCAGGAGCGGCCTTCTAGTCTGCAGAGGTGGTAGGGAAATATTGTGCTCGGATTATCCTAATTCTTGAAGGGTTGCAGCCCAAAGGGCTGCACAGGGGTTGGCATGGGTGTTTTGGAGCTGGAAGCTCCTTGCTTTGGAGTTTGCCTACCTCCTTTCTCTTGCAATCAGCCATTTATCTGCTCTGTGCCCCTACGGCTTTTTAATTAGTATTGACGTTTCCTTTCAAAGAGAGACCAAGCTGAGCCCTCGGAAACGCAGCCAGCATATGATGCTAACAGCACATGGCGTGGGCAGGATGGTGCCCACTGCTCTCTGGCACGAGGCTCCCAGGGGCCTGGAGAAGATCGAGTTGGACTTTTCTGATATCTAAGATGCTTTCAAAGTATCTGGGAAAATGGTACATTTTGCAGCACACCTGGGAGCTTAACAAATTCAGGCAATGATTGACCCAACTGCACGGACATGTGCTGTGTGTGAGAGCAAACACCCCGGCGAGGAGACGTCCAGCGCTGCAGCTCGTTTCCCTTGTTTCCTCCTACCAAGCCCCACTTGCAGGCTCTTTCCCATCCCTTTATGAGGTGACTCATAGGCAGGCAACTGTCAGCATCCAGGGTGCTATTAATATCTCGGGAAGAACATGCTGATAAGGTTTTCTGTTTCTTTTGGGGGAGAAATTGGAGGGGAGGATGGATGGCCAGAC